ACTACATATTTTGGGCACAGTACTTCCCTTAAGGAAAGGGTGCAGGCAGAAAAAAAGCCACATCTCCACTCTTTGCTAAATAATTTTTATTTTTACACATTAGAAAGATGTAATAAATACTGCTAATTGCTCAAGAGAATTCCTGCAAATGAACAAGAAAAAGACAGACGGCCCAGTACTGTACCAACAGTTTATGAGTGTACCCATTTGCCCTCATCCTTGCTAATATGGGATATGATTGATATTTAAATTTTTGTCAGTCTAATGGGCAAAAGTGGTATCGTCGCATTGTTTTACTTTTTATTTTCCCGATGTGTTTTGGTCACTTGCATTTCGTCTTCTATGAACTGCCCACCACGTCCCCTGCCAATGGGGCACACATCGGGGGAGGGGCACACAGGGGGAGTGGCCATCTCGGGCTGGGAGGACAACTTTACAACCCACGTTATTCAAGACTGCTGTGCATGATAATAATATAAAGTAGACTGGCTTGTAGTCAGTTTTATTACTGTTTTTAATTCTCTGTAGACAATACTCCTGCCCCTCACCCCTGGTGGGCTGCTCCACTGCCTCTCCCCACTTTCTTCTGAGTCGTCTTGTCTTATCGCTTTGAACGATTTCTGTTTGTCTTCTGGACGTTAATGCTCTGTTGTATTTATTGTGACCATCTTCTCACATTCTGTTCTTGTCTTTTAATTTTATTTATATTTAGTTGTTTTGATCTCTTTAACTTTTGAAAATCATCTGTCAACTTGTATGGCAGGCAATTAATTTGTTATAAAAAGTCCTTACTCTCCTTCCTTTGGGTATTGCTTTAAATTACTCCCAGACTGCATTGGAAGACTTCTGGATCAGTTTTCTAATAATGGGCAAGGGAGTAACCAGATGGTCCAGCTATGACAGCACAGCTAGTCAATAGGAGATATTTTTGGGAGATGAATTGGATCATGGCAAAAATCCCTCTCTGCAGAAGATGAGTCATGGGCATGCCCAACTGACTGGCAGCATCTGCAGCCCATGCTGGTTTGCTGTCTTCTGACTCACTGGTTAAAGCATAAATGGATTGGGCAGCTCCTCTTTGGCTTTTAGTTAAGGGAAACATTCTTAATATTCAGGGACTTGGTTTCAGCTGGATGATAGTTTAGGAGAGGGAAAGCAGACTATAACTCTGCGTCCCAGGATGCCATCTTTGTTAGAAATAGTGGCCATGTCAGGAGCTCATCTCTCACTTAGCAAGACCAGAATCAAGTTATCCTGTTTGGTACCACTTCTTGTGTTCCCTGCTCAAGCTGTGGCTGGTCTATGAGAAGAATAACAATGAGACTTTATCAGGACATTCCCTTACACATGAGGACTCATCACACACATACATTCACATGCAAATAACTGCACATACGTTCCACAAAACCCTCATTCTCTACCAGGAACACAAACTTTTCCACTCAGAGATCTGGGTACTTTTGTATGAGATGGTTCTAGAGGTCTCCTTCCAGTGTTCTGGTTGCCAGACACTGTGTGGGGGTGTGTGGGACCTCTCAACGTGGCTTGCAGCCCCTTCCCTTGATACTGAGTCTCCAGAGCAGGTGGCGGGAGGAATCCTCAGGCCTGAGTCAGAGGAGCAGGCTCTCGAATCCTGAGCAGGTAGAGTCAGGTATGAGCGGTCCTGAAATCCTTTGCTTTGTCACCACTGCCTTCCCAGGAGCTAGCACAGAACCTCACACAGAGAAGCCCTTCAATATTTGTTGAATAAATCCAAAAATTTGTGATTTTTTAAATTTTTTAATTTGAGTAATTTCTTACCTCCTTCCCCTTGCTTGATTTTTAATAGCAGTGCCCACGGTGATGTGCAGATCTCTTGGAAGAAAATCTTCCCTGAGAGTGGGAAGCTTTACAGCACTTAAGTTTCTTGAGGATTTAATCAGAGATGTCAAAACCCTCAGACATCATCTGATCAAAGGCTCTCATTTTACAGATGGATGAACTGAGGCCCAGAGATGTTAAGTAATTTCTGCAAAGTCACCCAGCTAGTTGGCAGCAGAACAGGGCAAAGGTTAACAGCCTGACTCCTGGACTAGTGCCATCCTACACTTTGCACCTTGATTAGACTTGAGTGAGTTATTCCAGGGACTGACTCCTTGATAAGAATGTTAAGAAAGCAAGTGAACACAACATGACTTTCTTTACCGAGAGTATCACAGTAGTCTATGAGGAACTGCGCTGGTTCAGGTAGAGCATCCGCTATGTTCTAGCAAATCTAGCCTATGATGTCACACTGACATATGTTTAACCTAATTACTTTAGATGTGATGGAAGGCATCCCTGTTGTACTATTTCTAGAAATTTGACCTCCGACTTTCAAACTTTCTGAGTCTATGGGATCTCTGAACACTGCGGCTGGTTGCACCTGCTGGGAGCTGTCAGCATCATTGCAGGTCCCCAGTGGGCTTTAACCCTGCCCTGCTTGATGGACGTGATACAGCTAATGCTGGCGACCACTATCTCACTAGAGCCGCGAACCAAAAAACCACTAATGGTCTCAGGAATTTTGAACAGTTCAGATTTGTTTTAGAACATAGACCTTTATTCAACCAATGCTATGATTTATGGTATCCTCATATTTCTTGTCACTTCATAAACTTTTCCTCTTATTTTGTTAGTTACTGCATTTATATTTCTCCGGAGTTGGTTTTGATTTTTTTTTTGCACTGTGTTAAGTTCAGACATCTCCCCCAAGCTGTGACCAGTAGGTTTACTTGGAAACCCGCATGTGGGGTGGAACATTTCAGTGCCACGCTTGGCATAACCTTTCACAGCGTATAAGGATGCTGCGTGCTTGTATTTGCAGAGTCATGTTTATTCTATAAATAATAGAACAGGCTTCCATGTTTGCATGGTAGGGTGTATACTTGAATACACAAGTATCAGTGCTCAGATCTGGCAGCTATTAATAGCTATTACTCTCACCAGAACTACTGTCCCTCCCCCCAGAGACAAACTAACATAAAGTTAAATGAAAAAGACAGATAGTTAAAAATATTCTATGATATAGTGAATGCTGAAGTGGTTAAGTCAGCATGATGGAGTTATGGGTAATTTTTCTCTTTTCTCTATTATCTAAATGCTCGATAGTGTAATTTTATTATTTTTATGCTAAAAAGAATGCATTTAATATTTTAAAAGAAAAGCAAACAAGAATAAAGTCAATAAAGCAATAACAGCAAGAAACATGTAAAAATTCCCTAGGCTGATGCGGTGGTGTGGAAGAGCACCAGCGTCATTGCGGCTCTTGCCTTCTGCTGCCGTCCTGCTTTCACAAAGGCCTCCACCTGCTTGTGTGCCTCTTCCTGTCATTGCTCTTAATATCTTAAAGTTTTACCTTTTCATTTTTCCTTTTATACAATAGCTATGAGATTGAAAGTCTTTTTTTTCTCTCTTCATTTCTCTCAACATAATGTCTTCTTGCTTGGCTTCTATGGTGGTTTTGTGTTATCCGACAAAATGTCATCAATGACTGTCAGTTCTGAAATAATGAGTTTTACAACGAGGTACATTTTAATTATGACATGAGGTAATTGGATGTTACAATATATCATTTGAAAAAATTCAAAGTTGATGATGGTTCACAGAAAGCTGAGACTCTGAAATCCAGCAACAAGAAGAACTTGGACTCAGCCAAGCTCGATGGTGCTGCTGCCGTGATTGGTTTCTTTTCTCATCTCCTGATAGGACGAAAGAGCTACTGTGAATAATTTTTGTGCTATGATGCATGAATTTGTAGGTTTACTTTGCTAGTTACATGTTTCTATGAAATATCCCTATTTATACAGGAAATTACTCCTTTTTATGTTTTGTCTTGTCAGGAAAGACAATAGTAAGTATCCTTTGAAAATACAGGTGTAAAGACTCACCTACAGGAACAGAAGTAAATCTGTCACAGTTTTATGTGTGTGTTTACGTGTGTGCACATTCGCACACACGCAGCACCAGCATTTGCAGAACTTGGGTCAGGGGCTATCGCCAAGGAGACTTCACTTTGGGTATTGAAGACACAACAGGGTTGAGAAAAATCTTCATACTATCATTTATGGATGCTTCTATTCTAATGGAATGCTCTCATGGTTGACGTAACGATAACTTTAATTTGCAGGTTCTAAACTATGAGAATGGAAAGAATTTAAACTTCGTGAAAATGTAACCCTATAGTCACTTGCCTCCTGAATCCTACTTGCCAGTTTATGATGGGAACAAATTTTAAAGACCAGAGTCATCATCTTTGTTTCATATCTTCTTTTAAATGAATTCTTTACATTTTAAATTACTTTTATTTTTCCTAAATATTGGATTTAACTCCTGGTTAGAGGAGAAGGGCCTGAGCAGATATTCCTGAAATGATCCTCTCCTAATGAGCTCTTAGTGTTACTGCAAAGCAGGCTCAGTTTTCAATGAACACATAATGCTTTTATTATCTCAAAAAGAAGCGCTATTTAACATGTGTATCTACACCGTGCAAAAGGAGCAAAACAGTATTCCTAAAGCCTTCAGGGCAGTATTTAACTTTTTTTGCATTCTAGCTGGGCAGTCCTCTTCTCCAAGCACACTAGGAGATGCTGTGATCCAGAAGCACTTCTGGATCACGATGGCTCAGGAGGAGCAGCCAGCACAGGGAGAACAGCGGGGCCTCCTTGGGTCTCGTTAGAGAAGATTCTCGGAGCAGTTAGAAGAACTGGGTAGAGGAAGAAAAACGAGCTGCCACCTTCTACACCCCCTCCTTACTCCTCAGAGTTTTTCTGAGAGGACACATGGCAGAGAAACCTGTGGAAACAGTCTCATGGGAGCCTGGTCCTGAAGAGAAACATGAGCCCTGTGAACTGTCTGACGGTTCTGGCTCCGCGGAAGAGTCTGGTTTTGCTCTCTCATTAGCTCTGGGCAGTCACCTTCTCTCTCTCTCCCTTACTCCTTCTTTCTCTTTCCCCTACCACACAAACACACCAAGATTTTCAAAGTGTTCACTCCATGTATATTCTACTCAGAGACCAAAAATTCAACCAACAATAAAATCATAGTCTTTGATCGGTATGGTTGAAACAAAGAAGTTAACAGAAGTAAAAAGAAATATAAATGAAAGTTTAAAACCTGAAACCACTGCTAGAGCATTGGAGAAGAGAAGTAACTTTTAATAGATACATAAATTATAGTTATTTAATTTTGAAAATGCCACCCACTCTAGCGTTTCTGGAAAGCAGCCTTGGCATCACTAGAAATAGTTACATGAACTTGATAAAGAACAGAAATGCTTTATTCTTCCAGGTCTTAGGAGTTATTGTTATAATTAGTAAGGCCAAATTCTAACACAAAGAACTATAATAAAACATTCTTTGAATATTAAAATAATTCTTCTAAAGCCTATATTAAGCTTTGCAAATTTCAGGCAAGTTATTGTATCTGAAACTCTGCCTAAGACATACACAGTAGTGAGTAATGTGTTGCTACAAAGCTTTTTGGATGGAAAAAAATGAACTTTGGGTATTAGAATATTTGATTTACTGGATTCCGACTCCTCTCCTGCCTGTTTCTCTTGCTAAACACTCAGACTGAGGCTTCCCTGTGATTATCTAATCTTACTCCATTCTCGGAAGTGTTGCCTCTGTAAACAGTGGAAAGCAGAACTTCCTGGATTGTTATGGTGAATATTTGGCTCTGAATTAAATGAATGTTTAAATCTCGAAGATTTCCAGTAATGTTGAATTTGGCTGGATACCCTGTGATTATAATATTTTAAGCCTTTAAAAACACGCAGGTTCTCAAATAGTAATAAGCCTTTTTCCTGCCTAGCATTTTGTTACTACGTCACTGTCTACTTCAAACAACTGGTGTGCAGTTTTGAGTTGCTGCCCCCAAGCTCTTCGTGCACCTCGGCAGACAGCCACAGGCGATACTGGAGAATGCTTTCCCGGATGAGCAGCAGAGAATCTTGCTTTTACCCATTTTTCTACTTGAGTTCCACTTTCAAGGTGGGCCTGGATTAGATCTGTTTTTCTTTCTTCCCTCCTCCTTCCCTTCTTCTCTCCCTTTCCCTCCCTCCCTCCCTCCCTTCCTTCCTGTTTCCTGGTTGCAATCTCCCCTTAGAGTAATTGATGCTGTCAGGACTCCTAGAGGTTCTTGTCAAGACCTGATAATGTAACACTCCTGCAGACAGCCCCAGGTGTTCCTAGCTTTTGCCTTCTCCTGAATTCTCACCTGTTTTTCAAGTCATTTTGAGTAGGGACCCATTTGTCCTTTGCTTTGTACTTCTGGCTGTAGAGAATTCCTCAAAGCAGAAAATGTGTTGGTGTATAAGTCTCATCATTCATATTGAGACCATGTGTAAATTTCTGTTTTGGAAAAATAATAGCTTTTACTTAGCAGTAATTGAGATGAGGGCTGGGTGTAATTTCCTGCTGCAAAGGAGGGGGCTGGGGAAAAGGAGCAGATGCTTTGAGAATATAGACTGAGGCAGTGACAGCAAGAGGTGGTAGGGACCCTCTGGAGAAAGTGGTGGATGACAGACAAGGAGGGAACTGAAGAGTCTCTGGGCCAAGGAAAGTGCTGTCTCAAGACCTCTGTAGCACAAGAGGCAGGGGGCAAGAGCATAGCCTCTTTCCAGTCTGAGGCCTCTCAGTCCTTGCATGCCCCAGCTCCCTTTTCCACTTCCCACCCTTCCCTTGCAGGAAGCCGCAAGGGGCTCGGTTGCAAGGCAACGGGCTGAGTTGTGTAGGAGAAGCAGCTGGAAGAGGTGAGCTGTCTACAGCTGAGATTGTCCCCTTTCTGTTTAGGGCTTCTGTGGCCATCTTCGTGTCTACGTGCTCAGCACAGACTGCAGTCTAACCCAACCGCTGTTCCGTCATTTGATCAATTGGTTGAAGTTATTGACCTACCATTGGGTTACTTATTTTTGCCTAACATTACATGGCCTAAATACTTGTGTTCTGAACCTATGCTGATTCACTGAGCATTAGCCTACTGTAGTACCAGGGGCAAGTAAGAGATCATTTTTTTGATTAGCATCTAAATATTTTGCATGAGAGAAATCCAAAAAGGGATGAGAGAAATGTATGCATAATGAATATATGTTTGTGTATAAAATATACACATGGGTATATATGTATATATTTACACACATATATTCATGCATATATATATATATATATATACACATACACATATATGTATATATTATGTATATAATGTTTAAGTGGAACCTTGAAATCCATTACTTATTATGGTACTTATTAAATTATATATGAAAATGAATAGAACACCACATTTTCACTAGTCATATATTGTAGTGGAAGTCTTAAAACACCAAATCTTACTGTTGATTAAGAAATTGAATTAAGTACCATCTTACTGGCAAATTAATATAAATTTGCTACTCATATGCTTTGTTACCATTTGGGAAAATTATGCTATCAACCAGTATTAAATAGAAAAGCTCCAAATCAATTATATACTGAGAACAAATAGCAAAGGCTGAATGTGCTCTGCATAACATTTAAAAATGTCTTGATTCTAATTGAGTCTCTTCGATTAGACATCCCTAGCCCTTAATGCCTCTTTCAGAAGACAACCTGTTAGGAAGGATGTGAAGTCAGGGAGAACAGCCCCTGAGGGCGCGATGAGGCTTAGTCCACTCCTTCCAGGTGGCTGTCTGCCCCTGCGGGTAGCTGGGGCCCAGCTGACAGTCCCTCTGCTGCTCCTGCTGCTGCTGGGGGCTGCTTGCTGGCCTCATGATCGCGCACCCCCGCTGGAATTTGCTCACCTGCCCGGGGGGTTGGAGCAGGACCCTGTGCCTCCATGACTTTTAGGGAAGCCTCGACTGGGGACTGGGGTGCCTGACTGGAAGTTCCTGCCTGTAGCTGCTGATCAGCCTGTGCTCCAGCTGGGACATCCTCGCCTTGGGCCTCTGATCCTGACTCTGCAGGGCGATTACTGGCCCTGGAGGGAGATTCTGCCTCACTGCCTCCTTTGGCCTCAGCCTGAGGACTCACCGGAGCCAGGGGACTCTCTGAATGGCATAAAGGGCTCAGAGGAGGCTGTCCCAGCTCCTCGAGGGCCATGTTGCCATCCCCTTGAGGACAGCCAAATTCTGGCTGAAGTTCTTGGGGCTGGTTGAGGGTCGTCTCTGGATGATGAATTATCCTGAAGGCTGCGGCTAGACTTTTCACAGCATCGTGAACTCTGTTGGCTTCCTCGGCATCAGCCTCTTCCCCCATAGAAACAGCAGACTCAGGCTCTTCGTCGGAGCTGTGCTGGCCTTGGTCATCCTTCTCAGGTGTTTTTGCTTCTCGAATTTTTTTGTAGAGTTCATTTCTCTCTTCTTGTAAAGCCCGACAGAGATTCTCTAGCCTCCCGATTTTCATCACGAAACACTCATATTCTTTAGCTCTCAGTGCTTTCTGTGGTTTGAAAATATACACACACAGAAAATGACATGAAAAGCAAAGTCGTCAGGATGCCCTCTGGAGACAAGCAAAACCATTTGTCTGGGAATTTGTCTACCGGGCCCTGGGGCCTGGCCGCAGAGCGGCAGCTGCACAGACACTTGGTCAGGGACTTTACTTCTTTTTTTGTGTTGTGTGTGAGACTCTGGTAGAATTTTAATCACGGTATTCTTTTCTTTAGAAAAGAAAGATGGCAAAGCTTCTCTTTGCTTCAGTCCAGGGTTTCTGAAATCTTAAAGTAGATGAATTTTCTGCTTCTAAGGCTTAGAAAGCGTAAGCAAAAGCTTGTGGCAAAATGAATGAGATGGACTGAGACCTGGCTGCCAACAATGCCTTATCCATTCTTTGGATAAACTGCCATATGCTAATCTAGCAACTGTTTGATTTATGTTGATGAATCATCAGCACATCTCTTTGAAATTGGTTGCAATTTGGGATGAATTGTTAGAACAGTAATTATAACCAGAGAAACTCACCACACACTAATTCATGATGCTGGCTGCTCCAAGTGTTCCGTTCTCCTTTTCTCTAGAAATGTCAGTTTGTGCATGAAATCGTTCCTACTCATCTTACTCCTTCACCCCCACCTTTATGCTGCTCGGTGCCCTTTAAGATTTTTTTTCACTTGTTTACCTGGAAAGACCTCCACCTGTAAGCCTTCTCAGGTCAAGGGCCGTGTATCTTTGCCTTTATGGTCTCAAACCTACTCAGAACCTGTCAGAATATCAGTATTTAAATACCTGTTGGAGGAATTAAACGATGTATCTCCATAACTGTCTATAAAATAGCACAGACCCTGGGTGCTTGGGCCAGTACCTTCTCTCAGGATGTTCAAATCAACTAACGCATTCATTCTGCACCCGTTACAGGCCAGGCCCTGGGAAGTTCAAAGACAAGTCAGAGGCTTATTAGCCTCTCAGGACCTCACAGTCCAGCGGGCATGCTGCTGCTCTGGGGACAGCTTTGGAATTGACAAGGAGGCATGTGGTTTATGGTCACAAAGCTCTTTAAGAGTCTGGACCCACTTTGCAATTACTTTTCTTCAATTATTTTTATTACAATTTCATACATCAGATCCCAGAAAAATTCAGCTCTTTCTCGAAGGTCATCATTTGTGCTATTAGGTTATGGTTATTTTCTAAGGATGAGCACTTTGACTAGACAGGTCAGGCAAGCTGAGGGGCGAGGCTGCTCACCTCTTCAATCATGTCCAGCAGAGCTTTGTTACAGTTCTCGAACCGGGCTTTCCACGTGGCTGTGTCCTTTTCCAGCTTCTTCATTTTCTTAGTCGTCTACAGAAATCAGAGTGTTTTAATATTAATCCTGAGGAGTTAATCTATCAAAGAAGCGATTAGTTCCATATGTGATGTCAAGAAAAGCCCTTTTGTTACCAGCTGCTGAAGCAAACTCAAGTTGGATGTCAAGGACTGAAGACTAGTGAGAGGGTCGCGATTTACTTCTGAATCATCTGGGTCAGTGGCGAACAGACTTATTTGTACTGGAGCCAATTCAGGAAAAAAGAACCACTTAGGGCCATGCTGTTTTGTTGTTGCTATTTTTTTCATTTAAAATAAAAATAGCTTCATTGGGTCCCAAGAATAAGCTTGCAATTTAGATAATGTACTTTATTGAACAGAAAGGTGTCAGTGAGAAAGGTGGCCTGGCTTTTTAGCCATTCAGGTGCTGGTGATTTCGGGCGCATCTGAGGAGGAGCCCCACGAAGCAGCTTGCTATCGCTGTCCTTACGTTTGTAGAGCGCGGTGGGGCTCACGGAATGTGATGACGCGCGTTATTCACTTCGTCCTCGAGAGAGCCCACAAGGGGCTCTGGTTCTGCTTCCACGTCCGCTGAACAAGCGGGACTGAGGCTCAGAGAAGCTCAGGGAAGCGGCAGGGTGGGCCTGGAGTCGCCGCTCGCCACTGAGCGCACCGTGTGCGGCGGCCGCGGGTCCCGGCTGGGGTCGGGTGGGGTGGGGTGGGGTGGGGGGCGTGAGGCGGACACTAGTGGGCGAAGTGCAGCCTGTCTTTCTCGAACTGGAGCCTGCCCACGTTCCTGGCGGCGGGCTCTCCTCTCGGCTCAGACGGCGAGCAGCACAGGGCGCGTGATCAGGCAGCAGCCCTGCGGCCCCTGCCGCTTTGTGCCAAGCTGCCTGCCCGAGGCTGGCGCCCTCGGAGGCCGAAGGCTGGCGCTCTGAGGAAGCTAGGTGAGCCTCGAGCAGTTTTTCAATTTGGATCATTTCTTAACCACGGTAGTAGTTTATAAATTTTTTAGGCTCATCAACCCCTTTAAGAATTTGATGAAATCGATGGGACCTCTCTCAGAGAAATGCAAATATGCGTATCAAAGTTTTTTGCTAATTCTCGGATCTACCACTAAAAGTCTGTAAATGAACCCCAGATTAAGAACTCCTGATCTTAATCTTTAAGGTTGATTTCTCTTTAAGATTTGTGGAGAACAGATTGGTGCTCACCCGAGAGGAATGGGTGGGGGAAGGGCGAAAGGGGTAAAGAGGCACGTGGGTATGTGACAGAAAGGGGTAAAGAGGCACGTGGGTATGTGACAGAAAGGGGTAAAGAGGCACGTGGGTATGTGACAGAAAGGGGTAAAGAGGCACGTGGGTATGTGACAGAAAGGGGTAAAGAGGCACGTGGGTATGTGACAGAAAGGGGTAAAGAGGCACGTAGACTTTTGGTGGTGAACACGAAGTAGTCTGAGCAGAAGTCAAATATAATGATGTACACTTGACATTTATATGTTATAAACCAATGTGACCTCAATAAAAATAAATAAATAAAATAAAAAATAGCAAAAAAAGGATTTATTCTATCTTAAAACTATGTAATTTTGAAATAAACACATTTTCCTTCTCTAATATTTATTCCAATCTTAAAACTCTATAATTTAAAAAATTTTAAAAGGTGGATGTAACAAGTGTTGGCCTACTTAAGTTTGCTCACTAGTTGTGAAATTTATCACATTTTTTATGAAAATGTTTTGAAAAAGATGTTTTCTACACTTAAAAATGGTTAATGCCAATGCTTGTTCAGAAACATAATTCTAATGGTGATTTTGTTTTGGGAAAACACTGAATTGAATAAGATTTAAACAATACATCCCACAATGACATTAGCACCTTATATTTATAAAAGAATTTTAAGTTTAAAACTCATTTAAAATATATTAATTATTTGAACTTCACACTCTTGTGAAGTCAGCAAGGGAAACAGCGTCTTGATTTATAGATAAGAAAAATGAAATTGAAGGAAGTTAGGAGAATTGTCCAATGTGACTTGATGATTATGAGCACACCCAGAATTTGAATTTAGGCTTCCATGTTCTCATTCAAGGCTCTGTCAGTTCTGTTATACTACATATCTTCTCATCGAGGAAGAATGCTTTGAAATGGTATTTTCTACTCTAATATTCTACTCTTGCATATTTATATGAAAGCTTTTTTTAATCTTTACAAGATTAGACATTTTTTGATTTTGGTATAAACAACATAATGTTAGAGTGTTTGCTTTTGTCTTTTTTTTTTTTAAAAAAAAAAGCTATCCATGGAGTAGAAAAAGAAAACATTCTTCCTCAGAGTGAAAATGTATCCTGGTGTTTTTGGGCTTTTCTTAAGATTAATTCCCCAGATACTTACCAATAAAAAAATACAGCCCAAATCTCATTTGCACCTGTAAATGTTTCACTACTTCGTGAAATGCACTGGAACATCTTAGTGAGAGAAAAGTGAACCCAAAGGAGGATCGCCTGTCAAAATAGAAAATGTCAGCATTCCGTGGGGGAGGAGCAACACTCACTTTATCCATTTCCTGTTTGAAAGCGGCAAACACCTCGTTGCTCTTTGTCAGCGTGCTCTGGAACTCCTCAAACCTTCCGGAGTAGAGAGTGAGCTGCAAACATGGGAAAGAGTAGGTCTATGTTTCGGCTGCTTCCAGAACGAAACAACTGGCCATTGTTCATTATTTGAGAAGAAAAATGATTTAGGGAAATTCTCAATACAGTATTAGTAATATGTTAAGTTCTTTTATTTCTCGAGATCACCCTAGGCCAGTGATCAACCTAGTGAGTATGACGGAAGTACTTCTTTAAAGAAAAATGAAATAAGATATGTCATCATCATTTCATTATAACACAACTTTCACCAACAAACATTCACTGAGCTCTGAACATATGCAGGGACTCGATACACAAAAGTGTTCCACATGCAGTGCCTGCTTTTGAGGGCCCTGCACTCCTGATGGGCAGACCATCCCAAAGATGAGCGGGCTACAGGACAGTGCAAACAGTGACAACGTGCCAAGGCAGGTGCCTGATCAGGGAAGCAGGCCAGTGTGAAGGGTGATCACATGATCCATGTTTTTGTGGAGAAGGTGAGCCTTGAACTTGGTCTGGAAGGAAGTGAGAAAGTAGACAAATGAAAAGACGTGATGATAGAAATGTGGGCCAGACATGGGCTAGGGCCACGGCCATCATGCAGCTTGTGCCACTCTGGGCAACTGTCTTCCATTTTAGATATTGTGGTCTTGTATATTTATGAATACAATGTTCTAGTCAATAGCAGTGAAATGTCCCTTTTCATCAGAATAGCTTATTATAGTAATTTTCTACAGATAGAAATAACGAGTCCTGAGGAAGGAATGCCTTTTTCTAATGTGCACAAAGAAGCATCAAATGGGTGAGCAGTGGCAAATGCGTGGCTCACTACAGGCGTCTGCAGAAGAGACTTTGTGCCTCCACACTCGAGGCTCACACGTGGGGCGGGAAGAGGGTGAGACAGGGAAGGAAAGTAAGTGCTTGATTGTTAGTGACAGTAATACAATAATAAAATCTTGCTTTTAAAAATAATTCTAGGATTGTGTGATCTGAGTGAGATTTAATATGGATGGTCCAAGTTAGGAAAGCCTCCATTTTAAAATGAGTCTTTGGTACCTTGACAGTCAGGAGGAGCCCAGGTCCTCCAACGGACACAAGAACTCCTTCGAGCAAAGTTGCAGAATCCAGCAGCAAAGAACCTGACACTGCCCTTGGTGGACGGGGACGGTTGGATTACAGGCCAGAGGGAAGGCAGCAAGAGGCCAGCAGGGGTACCCGTGGAACTGTGGCCTCAAAAGCAGAGAAGAGGGTGCTGGGCAGAAAGCCAGCAGACTGGAGTGCTCCCGGTCTCCGGCAGGAGGCAGAGGGAGTGTGTGCGAGTCAAACTGAGAAAATTTGCTTCTCTAAAGCGGCTCATTCTCAAATAAGTCAGAACAGCAGAGATAACAGAATGATAACATAAAACTCGTCCATAGGATATAGGCTTTCCAAAGAAGAGTCAAACAACAGCTGGCCATCACTCTGAAATCACTTAGTGCCGCGAGTATGTGACAGAGCTTGGGGCACTCTGGTGGCCTAACATTTGTTTCTCATGATTCCTTGGCATCCAGATTAAAGGAGATTGGGTAAAGAGCTGAGGGAATTTATGGCCAGGAAGGTACCCAGGGTTTTACACACACACAAACAGTGCATAAGACAATACTTACTCTTGTTATGTGCAATGCACTCTTGACATATTCTATTTGTTTCATTTTTTTCAAAGTACTGACTGGGAGCCACTGAACTGATTTCAGGGCCCATGAATAGTTCCAGCCTCAATTTGGGAGGCTCTACCCTAGGTGCGCTCCCGTGGGCCCAGCTGCCTAGACTGCACATGGGCTAGCTCTAGGGTGGGAGCAACTCCAGGCAGCTCACCCTCTCTACCTTCCATCCCTAAATCTGTTCATTTGCATCCGTGGCCAAGTGCTCTTGTTAATTTCTTTTTCTTACTTCCTCCCTTTGTTTTTCCAACTTCCAAGTGATTCCAGCAGAGTTATGTGGGGGTCGCACACTGTGTTTCCCCCGAGCTGGGCCTGCCCAGTGCCTCTGCAGCCCTCTAGCTGCAGACAGGTGGGGTGGGAGTACCCAGCCTTGCTGCGTCCCGAGAGTAAGCAGCCCTACCGCTGCCCTCTGCCCCTTCTCTGGGCAAAACGCTCTTTCTGGGGTATCAGTTGGGCAGACTTTGCTTCCCTTCCCCACTTTTCTCATGGCGTGGAGAAGGCAGACCCTGAGAGCGCCTGCAGTCTCGCTCCTCACCACCTCTTCTGGCCTTTGCCAGTGACAATTTTTTTCCCCTCAACTTTTTTCTTTTCTTAAATTTTTAATTGTGGTAAAATGTACATAACATAAAATTTACATCTTAAGCATTTAAATGTATGGCTCAATAGTGTTAAGTATGTTCACATTGTTGTACAGCCAATCTCCAGAACTTTCTCATGTTGCAAAACTGAAACTCTGTTCCCATTAAACAACTCCCCATTTCCATTTTTAGTGACTGTTTTTAATATTCTGCTTTTCTTCCTATTTGACCTCTTTGTCATGGGTGGCAAGCCTGTGTGGATTACCCTTTTCTCAGGCAACCAGCTTTAACCCTCTCTGCGTACCCTCACTAAAGTGTGTGCTTCCTGTTTACTGCATGGCTGTTTGCTGGCGGGATGTTCCCTCACTCTTATGCTGACGTGATGCATGTTTGGTTTGATGTGTCATATTCTGGCTCTCGCTTTGCTAGTTCAGAGAAGCATGGGACATCCAAACTTGTCCAAAGCATCCCTGCCAGAGGCAGAAACAGGAGCAGACTATTCGAGGGTTAGTACTAACAATTGCCACAACTTTTCACTTTTAAATGGACTGAGTGACATACATATTCTTTTAACAGATCACTGAATTTTAGTCACAAACATTCATCTCACATAGGAAACAGAACTGTGTTTAAGAATTGTCTTAGCAAACTTATGAGATTTGGTTTGAGAAGAAGTCCGATCACAAGAGGAGTCGCCGAGGAATCTCCTCTCATCCTGGGTAGATAAGGTGAGGACTTGGAAGTTTAAAGACTGATGACCCGTTCTCACAATTTACTCACTGATCTTTCCCCTTGGGGAGTCTTTGTGTCTGTGTTGCTGAGTTGTGTTTGTATTGCTGACTTTTCACATCTACCGCCATCTTCATCCTTATCAATCCAATGAACACTCTATTTGTAGTGACAACTGTATCCCATTGATCATCTCTGACATTTACTCTGTTGCCTTGGTTTGTGTAATTGAAAGCCAGACATCTCTTCCCTAAGTGAGAATCATGCCCCATACTGGCAGGCTGTTGTCTTATGAGTGAAAAGTGACTTCCATCTAGGAAAGCACGATCTGCCCTTCATATTTCTTTTGCTCAGATCATGGAAATGGGGACTAGGCTGCCCCTTCCTGTCACCTCACCCCTTCAGCACTATGCAAAATAATCTGTGATAGATTGTTTTTCAGGGTTTAAAAGTTTTAAAAATATAATTTTGATACTTTTCAAGAGGAACTTGTTTAAACGTTATTATACATAGGGATTTTGGGCCTCTATGTTCTTTTGATGGTTAAGTAATTATTGGAATTTTGAAAGCATCTTGAAGACAAAAGAGACAGACCAAGGAGAATCTTTGCCGAGGGAGCTGCATGCCGCAGAAGAGGAGGCAGGGGGAGGAGAGGGCCAGTGCGCTCGGCTCAGGCTTCATCAGCTCTGGAAGTTCTCCACGTCCACGAACTAGAGCTGAACAGGGTCTTAAGATCATCTTTTACATCAGTTGTTAAACTTTTTTGTAACTAAAGCCTCTTTTTGTGTCATAAATCTCTATATGGACCCTCACCTATGAAATATTAATATTAGCTCATACGCTAATTGTTAGTTTTTCTATTAGTATTATTATCACTAGATTGAGTTTAATTAGGCAATGTTTTTGACTCTCTCATTGATTGCTGTATCTCCAACATCTAGAACCATGCCTAGCACCTAGAGGTGCTTAATCAGTATTGGTTGAGTTATTTATGCTTATGATGGACCAGGCACAGACATAAGTGCTTTGCATACATAGCTTGAACATGAGCTGCATATATTACATATTCATTAGCTCATTTTCCTTTTATAGACATAATCAAACATGTGAATAATTGCCATTCATAGCTGCTGAGCGAGAGCTGATACAATGCCAAAAACAGCTACATTTTAGATGGTAGCTGCTGCCTCACGTGCTGTCACGTTTCGGAAATCCTGAAAAGTAATGGGCCTCCCAAAGGTCGGAGGACTCCAGGTTGGCTCACTGATCATTACAGCATCCATATTTTACAGACAACGACATTTAGGTCCGGGAGGTTTAGGTGAGTTGCACAGTCAGACAACTTCTCAGCAAAAGAGCCAGGAATCTGATCCTTGTCCCTGGACTCAGTCCAGGATTGAGAGATGGATGAGGAACACTGGCAAGTCCAGAACCCCTGCTAGGTGCTTTTTCAAATTTGAGAGGCATAGGCAGGAATTGGATCACCCTTTTATGTTTTATTTCATGGGTCATTAGAAGCCTAGATTCTGATGCCAGCTGAATGACTCACTCTCAGCCCAGAGTCTAATGGTATTAATGTAATCTCCTCAAGCCCTTTATCTTCATGGAGTGTAGAGGAGTAGGGATTGCTTGTAACAGATGATGCGCATGATGAGAATAGCTTCAAGCGTTGTCTTTTGTGCCCCTCAAGGCTCTGTCCTGTGATGGGGCAGAGACAGAGCTGGAAGCCCTGACTTGATTCTCTGGACTCCCCGCGGAGAGGCTGCACCTCCTTTCTCCTGCCTGCTCCTGGTTGGGGAGCCCCTACTGCTGACATCAGCCCCACACCATGATGTGGTGGGGTCCCTGACAGCCTAAAGGAAGACCTTGAGTTTGTAACTCGAGCCTAGTCTTTCAACTCTGGTTCCTTTGATTCTATTAATGGTAAAATATATTTTGGTTCTAATTTCTATGTAGTTAGTATTTTAAATCTATTTTGTATATTATCTCACCAGGAAAAACAATTCGTGGTTGCATTTGGTGCACACAAGGAAAAGGATGCTTTAGGAAAGTTGGATATCAAAATGTTATCTGTGTTTTTATCTATGCAGTGGTAGAATTTGTGATTTTAAGTTTCTTATTTTCCTTATTTGCTTTTTTATGAACAAGTATTCATTGAACTTGTTCATTCATACAATGAACAAGTAGTTTTTTTTTATAATGAGCAAGTATTCAGCAGTCAGCACATAAACATTTACACGTGAATTATGCAGATCTTAGTTAGTGTAGCTGCGCAGCTCTGAAGGCTTCCAGTTGCCTCACCTTCTGTGGATTTGCTCTCACTTTACGGTCCCTTTAGCCTCGGGCAGCAGGGGAGCTATAGCTCCTCAGTGGCCCTCCAGTGGCAGAACGACTGTCCTGAAATCTGACCAGGCAGTTTGCCAGGAGGGCAGAGCCCCAGGGGCACGGGAAAGACCCATAGGCCTGGCTTTCCTCCAGAGTCAGCTGTTGCTATTTTTGAGTCTGAATTGTCGTTATTTTTGAGTCTAAAATATGAATTTGTAGTCCAGTCAAAACACACACATGATGTCACAAGGCCAAATCAAAATGGCTCCTGATTTGTCTGCCATTTCCAGTCATTCGCCACTGACAAGGCCCACCTCTGCTAGCACAAAAACTTGGGCACTGACTCTATTTTTCTAATTTCCTTTTATTATGAATAGTATCAGACTTGTAAGGGCATTTTCAATGTTGACAGTTGTAGATAGTGCGTCTGAAAAGATTACCTTTTATTCTTATCTTACTAGGGTGATGGGGGAGGAGAGAGAGAGGATGTACGACCTGATAGGCGGGAACCTGGACACCAGCTTATGCTGGTTGACCGTCTTGGCGCCCTCACTTGTATGTCAACAAACCTTTTTACTGGAGGTTATTGGTGCAGAGCATTTATTTTTCTTAGATATAATATTATGTTTTCATTTTTACTTAAAAATAATAAATATGGAGTTATTCTTCATTTCCAGCTCCTGTTCCCCCTCCCCTGCCACGTGTAAGGCCTTGTGCAGGCTCCCTTTGGCTCACAGCCTCTTACTTGGGAACAGCAAGGCAAGCCCCCCGTGCACTGTGGCCCCGCTTCACCTGAGCCTGCAGGACTGTCTCCTGTTCCTTCAGCACTTTGGCCTGAAGCTTCCACTCTGCCGCCTGGTTCAGCAGCTGTGAGAGAGACAATGCGTGGAAAGACAGTCAGATTGCCTTGTAAATTGCCATTTGGTTGTAACTTATATATAAACTTAATAACTTGCTAGTTAACCCCCTTAAGTAATTTTTTGGGAACTTTGTAAAGAATCTAAGAAAGCTAAGAAAATGACTAGTCTTAAAAGTTGGATTCTCAACTAAATATTAGGGTTCTAATGGGAAAAAAAAGGGAAAAATAGTCTCCAACTCAAGCATAAAATCACACAAAATTCAACCTCCCACCAAATTCTGGAATCTTCTCTAGCAATCCTGACCAACATCATTTGGCTTCTGCTTGAACAGTTCCACAACATCCCCACCTGGGACATTGTTGTGAGCAGCTGTTCCTTTATGGCAAACCCAAAGTTTTTCTCCTCGACCACTGTGCTCCACCCTTAGCATGCATCAGAATCTCCTAAGGATCATGTAAAAATGCAGATCCCTCTCAGAGACTATGAGCTGGAAAGTACAGGTTGTGTGGACTCTGTACTTATAGCAAATACCAAGAATGGTTTGGATATTGGTGGCCGTGGTTTACATTTTGAGAAACACTGGCTTAGAAATTTGACCTATTGTTCTGAATCTTGTGTAAGGTTTACAAGATGAGCCTCATCCCTCTTCCAGAAGGCAGCCCTTCAAGTACAACCAAGGCCTTCATATCAAACATGAGCAGAACTCGGAGCTGATGGGTTAAATTGAAAACGTTGTTTTAGGCATAAAAATGACACACACATTCGTAAAACACACCATTTTAACTTAAAAATGTATGTTCATTTATTTATCAATTTTGATGTAGGGCTGTGGTCTCTGTTTGGGTATGTATGGATCTTTTGATTGGAATTCAGAGGTTTTTTTTGTTTTGTTTTGTTTTTTTGGTGAGCAAGATTGTCCCTGAGCTAACATCTGTGCCCATCTTCCTCTATTTTGTATGTGGGACGCCTCCACAGTGTGGCTTGATAAGCAATGCATAGGTCTGTGTCAGGAATCTGAACTTGTGAACCCCGGGACACTGAAGCAGAGCATGTGAACTTAACCACTATGCCACCTGGCTGGACCCCAGAGCTTTATTTTGTTTTTACAAAAATCATATCCATAATGTGCCATACAAGGATTTATAATATTTTTTCTTTTTTAAACAATTGTGCTAGAACCTAAAGATATTTCTGAAGTTGCCTGATTGGATAATTCTCTAGAGTTTTACAACTGTCTCAGTCTTCTACAGCTACTCACATGGAGTTTGAAAATTGCTTTTTGCTATTTGCTTGCATTTAGTCTTTCAAAGCATTAAGCGTAGTTTTCCTAGAAACATCTTTCTTTCCACACTGACTTCATCAGTTTATGTGTAATTCTGTTGATGTACATGATACAAAAACCAGGACAACTGCAGAGAAGAGGCTTTCGGGCCGAGGGCTGATTCTTGGTCTGCTCCATCTGACTTAGCTGGGCCACCCTGTGTAGACATTCCTGAGGGGCTGACTGACACAGTAGTCAGAGTGCTGGGCGTCAGTGCGTCTACAGAGAGAAAGGCTGACAGCCTTGGGTAATGTGGCTGGTCAGTCAGGTGGCTGTCAGTTAAGAAGTTTCTGTTGTATTCGAAGATAGGCTGATTTAAATTTCTTTTCTTTTTGTTTATCCCCTTTGTAAAAAAACGTCCATGAGGTCCATGCAGTACTTTTGTAATCAGAACAAAAAAACAATAAAATCATTCTTTTTAAAAACTTGAAGGCATCTTTTTTTCTTATCCAAGTTTATATTTTTCCCGTGGCTTGATCCCTCCATTTGTAAAATGGGTTCTCTCTGTTCTTTGATGCCTCCCAGTGAGAGGGAAGATCAATTCTTATGGAAGTGCAGTTGACTCAGAGTATGAGGGGTCTGGGGCAGCTACGAGCAGAAGACGGGCAGCGCCCCCCTGGCCGTCTGAGCAGTGTGCGGGCAGTGTCCCTGGCCCTTGCTTCCCCTCGCAGGCTGAGGAGCCCTGCCTGATGGGTGGTCCCCAATCAACAGGGAGGCATGTGGCTGCCTCTTCTGTTTGGGTGAAGAAGCCCCCCAGCTCTAACTTGATATTTCATCACTTTCAAAAAGAAGCATCAAACCAACAGCAGAATATCTATTTTCTAGGATTCTGAATAATTAAATGCTTCTTTTCTTCCTCTGAGAGCTAGGTTGTAGATGGATTTAAAAATTAATCTTTTTATTAAGAGCACATGGACTTCTGACTTGAAATTATCCAATGTCCATCAGGTTATGTTCTCTAAAATTCATGCTTTTGTTGCTACTTTTGAAAATGGAAGTTATTTTTAAATCACTATTCTAACAAATTAAAGTAATTGTAGTCTGATTTTGGGTAAATGCAAAGCTTGTGATCAAATGTTAAATGGCCAAATTTGAATAATCCATCCATTGACTGTGTCTTAAATCTCTCTCCCCAGCAACAGACACACACTTGCACCGTGGCCCTGAAACTGGCCTCTGAGTGCGCTGTCCTCTCACAGGGCCGGGCGCAGGGTCCAGGCCCACAGGGATGTGGAGTTGTGTTGGAAGTGTGACCAGCACATCCTGGTCACTCAGCAGCATACGACCTTATACAAGGTGCATGTCCTCTTTGAGCCTCAATTCTCTCCTCTGGACAATGACCCCACAGCTGTTTTGCAGCGTTTGGGGTTGACGTACGAGATGTCAGTAAAAGCCACCACTCAGCTTCTTAAACTAAAGACTCAGGAGTTGTGCTGACTCCTCCCTGTCCTCACTGTTGCCATCTTCAGTTCAGAGCCGTGCCTGTTGGTTTCACATCAAAAACATAATTTTTTGTCCATGTCCAGCTCTCCTTCTCCACTGCCACCTCCCTCAGCCAAGCCGTCCCCACACCCACTGAGACTGCTTCAGGGGCCTCCCCACCACTCTCTCCTCGCTCCCTTGCCCTTCTTGAGCTCATTTTCCACCCAGGGGCCAAATCCATCTGTTACAGATACAAAGCACATCGTGTCACTTCCTTTGCTAAAACTACCCAGTACTTTCCCATTGTATTTAAAGTCCAAACTACTTTCCAAGCCTGCAGAGTTACACAGTTTGGCCGTCTCAGCCTCTCCAACTTCATTTTGACCCTTCCTCCCACTGGGTCAATGTGTTCTTGCTTCCTCGACCTTTTCCTATTTCTGGAGGATGCCAAGCTGGTGCCAGCATTGGGCCTTTGTCACTGCTGCAGACACTGCTGCTGGAGACCGCTTCCCTGGGTCCTTCTGTCAGGCAGGGCTAGGCTCCAGCATCCTCCTCCAGGAGGCCATCCTGTGATCCAGTCTAAAGTAGGGCCCCTCCTGCTGCCTCTTCTCAGTTCCTCCTCATTTCCCCAGGAGCACTAATCATTATCTGAAGTTATCGTCCCTCATTTGTTTGCTATTTATAGCCTATCGCTGCCCAGTTAGATTCTAGTCTGCACGCTGAGACGTGGCCTTCTGGGTCTTGTCCACATCTGTCCCTCAGCATCTAAGATGGTGTTTAGCATATGACAGGTGCTTGAAAAAGATTTGTTGAATGGATGCGTGACCATTTTATGTACAAGATAGTGTAGGTACAGTGCCTCCTACTGGGCTGGCCAACTTAGTTCTCCAGGGAAGCTCAGGCTCCCTCTCCATCGGTCTAGTGCTCTAGGACCATTATCAAAAATAACTTTCTCAGTGGCTCTCAGACCCCAAGGCAGACCAGACAAATACACAGATTCAAACGATAAATACATATTCCTTTTCTTGTTTGTGTCGCTCCTCTGCTTCCTGCATCATTTCTTGCGCCTGCTCCAGCTTCGCGTCCACCAGCTTCTGCTGTAGTTCTCTGTGTTTAAATATTTTGTCCAGATGCTGAGGAAAAAATAAAGGGCACACATCAGGCTTGACTTATCGGTGCTGAAAATGTAAAATCAAGAAGTGATATTCACACAACCACGAATTCTTCAGGTTTTAAGAAGGAAAAAAAGAGGGGAATTAATGCATTGACATTATTTATAGTTTTACGCAAAAGCCATAAACTGGCGAAGGCCCTGGCAGGTTGCCCCACACAAAGATGGCTGCCGTGGGTGGCGCTGCCCCCGCTCAGCAGTGTGCACTCCAGAGGAGCGGCGCTCTCTCTAAATCTGGTGACTGTGAGGCACGCTACAGAGATGGGCGGCACAGCGGTACTCACACTTGCTTTTTGGCTCTTTCTATGAGTAAAAAACCGCTTTTAATCGCAACATTAATACGATTTATTGTGAATTCTCCTCTACATTCTTGCCTCAAGGGTTGTGAGGAAGTTCTGGGCACCAGCATGTGGCTCCGGGTCTGGGACTGGGTGGGGAGCCCCCTGCTTTCAACTCTGTTGCTCTAGGGGGCAAGATGAGGCCAAAGGTCGTGTCACAGATGAACTGATACACACACGTGCTACTGCTGCCCGCAGGCCTTTTGACCTCTCTGCTGCTTGGTGAAGAGAAGCTTCTAACTCTGCCTCGCGTGGAGAATTTCTTGGTCATCAGAAGTCTCATTGGCAAGAGGACACATGGGACTCTCTCCCTGGGCCTCACCTACAGCTGATCCCAGGAGCGGCCAGCTGATCTAAGCTGTCTGAGGTCTCTCTGGAGAGTGTGTGTATTTCCTTTCAGCTCCTTCCCCTTTGCTTTCACTCGAGCCTCTACTCTGGGGCAGAGCTGATCCCATAGGAGATGGACGCAGCATGGCTTCTGTTTGCTGTGAGGAGTCTCCTGATTCGCCTAACGGCTGCTGCCATGGTGCTGGCTCAGTTTTTTCTCGATAAAACGTCAGCATGTGGCCAACAGAGTCACTTTGACTATATTATGGTACATTTTAAGGCAGAGGTTTAAAATGTGGGTGGGATGGGGAAAGGAATATGATATATTAAAATCCTGAGGGGGCATCTGGAGTCTTAAAAACATATTAAATATTAAAAGATAATTTTGGAATAATAAACGATTCTTATAGTCCCTCTAAAGTAAACTATTGAAAGCAAAACCCTTTTGGCTTTCATGCCTGTGGATAAGAGATTTAATTTTGTGGCCTCTGCTTCCCATCTATAAAATGTGGATAATGTTGTTTTCTAGTGTATAAGATTTTTGAGACTCTTGAACGACGTATTGTATATAAAGTATAGTCTTAGCACATTGTCTGGCACAAACCAAGCACTGAATAAACAATGCCATTACTGTTACAATTATTACACTATTAATACCGTTATTAAATTGTGGGGTATATAGAATACAGACCCATAATTTAGATGACGTGGTGCTTCTCAAGAGGAAGTGTGTGAGATACTTTTTGGCTCTAAAGCGAGAGTTTTATAAGGGCTGAGAAAGACTGTTTTCAAGGATAACTGTGCTCTTGCCTACCACTTTCTTTTTTTATTATAGTTTTCTTTTTATTGAGGTCATGTTGGTTTATAACATTGTGTAAATTTCAGTCTATATTGTTATATTTCAGCTTCTGTATAGAGTACATTGTGTTCACCACCAACAGTCTAGTTTTTCCATCTGTCACCATACACATGTGCCCCTTTCCCCCTTTGCCCTCCCTCCACCCCCTCCCCTCAGGTAACTATCAATCTGTTCTCCTTACCTATGTGTTTGTTTGTTTGTCTTCAACATGTAAGTGAAATCATACAGTAACTGTCTTTTTCTGTCTGAATTATTTCACTTAGCACAATACCCTCAAGGTCCATCCATGTTGTGGCAAATGGTACAGTTTTGTCTTTTTATGGCTGAGTAGTGTTCCATTGTGTATATATACCACATCTTCTTTATCCTTTCATCCGTTGAGGTGCACTTTCTATTTATTGCCTTTGTTTTGCAGTGATTCCAGTTTGAAGAAATCTCATATGACTTCCAGCCAGGTATTTTCTAATACGTGTGTTTTTATTTTGGTTAGTAAAAGAAATCCAATCCTAAATATGAAGCGTGTGAGAGGGCTCGCCACATCTTCCTTATTAGCCAAGTCCCCACCTTCACAGCCCAGATCTGGACCTACTTACAGCGCCTCTACGTGGTTTGGTCTGGTTCTCACCTCCTCTCTGAGCTCGTACTGATCAATGATGCTTTTCAGTTTCTCTGCAAGCTCTGTGTTCTCCTGACACAGCTTCACATTTCGCTCACTCTGCTGCTCAATCTGGGCCTGGATATCCGTCAGGGTGCTCTGGAAATGATTTGTGATCTCCTTCCTTTTCTCCTCCTCCTCACGTGCCCGCTGAAGGGTTTCCTCCTGTGGATGAAAAGCAAAATATTTTGTGATGCCGGTTTGCGTGCACTCTTGGTTTATAGAACGCAGGGTTAGGTCGGTGAGAGGTGAGGAGTGTACAGGGTAAGGAAGATGTTCTCCTCAATTGTCCAGAGTTAACGTTGCTGAGCCCCCAAATAAATGTATGAGCAAAGGTTTCAGCTGTGAATACACAGCCACTCTGAGCAGGTGCAGTGAGGACCTTGAATTTGATAGTTGGTGACGAATAGGCTTGTTTTAAAGATGACGGGACTCCTGCTTAGTGAATGAACTGCAGTGATCTCTAACAAACGTGCTATGGCACAATTCTGATCTTTGGCTGTGGCCTGGAGAAAAGGCCGCGCGGTTTACTGATTGATGAGACAGAGCATGTGTTCCCTTGGTTTGGTAAAGAAAGAAGAACTATAGATCTTTATTCCTCTATCAAAATTATGGCATATTAACCACACAATTGTATTATCTAAGTTTAGTAAATATAAGTGATCACAATATAAACTTTTTCTTAATAAGAAAAAACTTTCATCCAAGAGCTTAAAAAGGAAACTAGTTGTAGATTAATTACAGTAATTAAAGAATGTGACAGGAAACCTTTGAAAATAAGGGGGATATTTTATTTCTGAAAGAACGGTCATCCCACATGTCACATAGGGTTATGGAAATGTTAAATGCAAATTCTGAATCTGAAAGCAGTAGTGAGTTTCTAATCTTCTTTAACTCTAAAATGAAATGTCTAATGTTTCTCTCTTCCACTTTGTTAATATTCAGAGTTGGAAATTAACTTTCATGCCATTTCTGTTCTATTTTCTCCTAAATCAGAACTCTCCATTCACTGCTAGCTACTAACAATGTATCTAAATTTTCCCCATATCCTGATTGATGGTTGTTGGCTTTGTGATTATTCCTTTCATTCTTTTGGAATAAAAGGGTTTAATATTGCTACATCATACCAAAGATAGAAACACTGCTGACAAGTGATACAGACATTTTAGGATTCCTTTCAGTTCTGACTAATTGTTATTATGAAAGCTTGCTTCATTGTTGGCAAGTAAAATTATATGGCATTTAGTTGCCTACCATGATCAAATTATGTAACAGGATTTTTAAAAAGACATAATGATTTAAACAGAAGAAATTGTGCAAATCTTTATTATGATGGTAGAATAATGTGATCAAAATAAAAACTGATGCTGAAAATATATGCTGTGGAAATATTTTAATTTATCAATAGATGTCCTCTTTCCTCTACAATATTAACATATTTTCTAACTTCCGATATCAGAATCATAATTTATTCATGGTATAAACATTCATTGAGTGACAATTTCTTAGGGATGTTATAGAAGATATTTGCACTTCCTAATCCGAGGAAATTAACTGAGAGGTCATTTCCCTGAACTTTGTCTGCTAACACTTTTATATGTATTTTACTAAAAATGATTATGACCATCTACGTGCCACTGAATATACACGTGATGGTGACCGTGTCCTTACTGCTCCTGATTCGCTCAGAAGTCAGCAGCTTCCTAGGTGTAGAACCACAGATCACGGCCCGAATGCCGTTTGCATTTAGACTGTTCCCCCTGTCAGTGAGCTTCCTGCTGGCAACTGGCTACAGAAAGAAGTCCCGGATGTATTAAACGCATGTGAAACCATCACAGCACCCAATCCTGGCCCACAAAATGGCATCTTGCATTTTACGTTACGTTGTTTCTCAATGAAAGAAAGATAAATCCAGCAAAATCTTATAAAACTTGTGTCTATTGATAAAGAATTTAGAATGATTTGGATGGTGTCTGAGATAAAATTTTCTTTATCAAGTGTATTATTCAAAGTGAAAATTAATAATGCCAATAATTGAAGGACTAAGTCTGAAATAACTAAGAAAACAAACTTTGTAAGCATCATTGTGCATATTAGAACTGGTGCCTGGCACATAACCCATAGGTGCCTGGTAAGTGTGTATTTAGTGAATCAATGGCTTGTTAACTTACATAGAAACATATAAGTAACTTGGACTGCGTAATTCCTATAGTCCCTTCCACATCAAAATTCTGTGATATTCTGATAACAGATCATACTCACCCCTTTATTAAAATCATGTTTCCTGAGACACTTACCCATTTCTTACTGGGCAGTTGTTTTTCAGTATAATTTGAAGCTCAGATTTATTGCTTCAAATATATGTAGTATTTTGTTGAAATAAGCCCATGTCTCAGACTTTCACTGGTCTTTTTCTAAATTATCCTAAATTGTGAGGTTTTGTGGGATTTTTTTGACTTATTGATGAATAAATTTTAATAAAGAATAGTAAAGGTTAAAATTTATGGTAGTGGAAAGGGTCTGGGTATGCATTCTCTTCCTCTATCTTCCCCAGCTCCTGGCACGTGGATTTTTGAATCAGATTCACTTATGCTGTTTCACTAGCGTGGCCAAGGAAGCTCATGCCACAGCGACCCTTCTATAGATAACAGCTGTAAACTCGGACAAAATGCAAGAAACAGCTAATTAAAGGCATTAGAGAGTCAACAAAATCAGGCAGATTTTGGAGGGAAGTTGACACCTGTAAAAAGGAATAGTATGTTGTAAGTTTCCCATTTTGTATAGCTTTTAGCTTGAGGGGAGGCTGCAATTGGCAGCTGCACAGGATGGTTAAAACTCTCATAGAAAACCTACCATCTTTCTGATCCAAAGAATAAAAGTACAGAGTTCTGGGCAACTATAGTTACTGGAAGGTGAGGGGAGATTCCCGGGAAAGAGAATCGAAGCGAGAGAGAGCCCTAAATTCTGTGAATAAACTGCCCAAATCTTTGGCTGACCCTGAACCACACATGTGCAAGGCAGACTCAAAGCAACTTAGCTAAGGAAAAAAGAAAGAAACTGAGATTTGAGCTGCTGCCCAAAAGAGATTTGGTAGTTTGGTTCTAACCAAGTTAACTGCCTTCCAAAGAAAAAAAGAATCAACATTTTTCAAGGAGTATCTTACAATCCATGTTCTCCACAACACAACATCCAGGATACAACCTGCAATGACTTGACACGAACAAGAAAATGTGACCCATTCTCAAAAGAAAAGACTATCAGAGAAGGCCTATTCCATAATGACCCAGGAGTGCAGTTATCAGAAAAGAATTTTAAAACTGGTATTATAACTATGCTCATTGATATAGAGGAAAATACTATCTCAATGAATGAAAAGATAGGGAAATCTCAGGAGAGAAAAACAGTCTGTAAATAAGAATCAAATGGAAATTCTGGAGTTAAAAGTTACAAAATATGAAATTTAAAAATCACTGGATGGACTTAGAATAGAGATGACAGAGGAAAGAGTCAGTGAATGTGATAACAAACTAATAAAATTATCTAATCTGAAGATAGAAGAGAGAAAGGATTGGTGAAGAACATGGAGAGAGACTCAGGACCTGTGAGACAACATCAAAGGTCTAACACAAATAGAGTTAGAATCTCAGAAGGAAAGGAGAGAGAGAGACTGGGACAGAAAAAATATTTGAAGAAATAATGGCGGAAACTCCCCCAAATTTGGTGAAAGACATAAATTACAGATAAGGAAAACTCAGCAAATGCCCAAGAAGAATAAATAGGAAGAAAACCGCATCTGGGCATAAAGCAGTCAAAGTTCTAAAAACCAAAGACCAATAGATAAATGACATATCACATATAAGGGGACAACAATTCAAATTATTCTTGATTTTCGTCAGAAATTATAGAGGCCAGAATATAGAATCTATAAAAGACTGAGAGAAAGAAAGAAAAGAAAAAAACCCCTTGTTAACCCAGAATTCTATATCCAGTGAATATAGTCTTCAATAATAAAAGCAAAAGAAAGACATTTTTTTTTAAAGATTGGCACCTGAGCTAACAACTGTTGCCAATCTTCTTCTTCTTTTCTTTTTTTTGAGGAAGATTAGCCCTGAGCTAACATCTGCTGCCAATCCTCCTCTTTTTGCTGAGCAAGACTGGCCCTGAGCTAGCATCCATGCCCATCTTCCTCTACTCTATATGTGGGACGCCTGCCACAGCATGGCTTGTCAAGTGGTGCCATGTCCGCACCCAGGATCCGAAGCAGCAAAGCCCAGGTCCCTGAAGTGGAACGTGGGAACTTAACTGCTGCACCGCCAGGCTGGCCCCAAGAAAGACATTTTAAAGATGAAAAGAAAATAAGATAATTGATTTCCAGCAGACTTGTAGTATAAGAAATGCTGAAGGAAGTTCTTCAGGCTGAAGGGAATGAGACAAAACAGAAAAACTTGAAGCTTCTGAAGGAATAAAATACATCAGAAACGGTAAATATCTGGGTAAATAAAAACAGTTTTTGCATTTAATTTTTAAAGAAACAGATGATTGTTTAAAGTAAAAATTATAACAAAATTATATATATATAATATATATTATATAATTATATATAATATATATTATATAATTATATATATTATATATATTATATAAAATATATAAAATTATATATAAAAAATTATAACGTTGTCTCACGGGCCTTATAAATGTACATAAAGGTAATACTCATCACAGTTACAGGTTAGAGGAGGGGGAAGTAAATGGACCTATTTAGTTGCAATGCTTCAATATATTATGTGAAATTACGTGAAAGTATTAACTCCAGGTGGACTATGAAAAGTTAAGAATGTATGCAGTAATCACAGAGCAACCACTATAAAGGCAAAGAGGTACAGTTAAAAATCCAACAGAGAAATTAAAATAGAATTTTAAAGGCATTCAAATAATCCAAAGGAAGTCAGGAAAAGAACAAAGGAACAGAAAACAGAGTGACAAATAGTAAATAAACAATAAAATGGTAGACATATATCCAACCACACTAATAATTACATGATATGTTAATAGACTCGTGCTCTAATTGAGAGGCAGATACAGTGAGAGAAAGTAAGCAAGGTCCAACTCTACACTGTCTCTAAGAGATGCACTTTAATATAAAGACCCAGGTTGAAAATAAG